GGCAGGCAGCCTGCTATGTCAGGCTTTTATTATGTACTGCAGAGGCTAGGGACAGTCAGTTTAATAAAGCAAATCATCCTTGAAGGTAAAGCAACTGGGAAGAGCAGGAGGAAGACGGGGGCAAAATGTGTCTTTGCCACTCATTCTGATTAAAAAAAAAAAAAAGAACAGCAAAACCACCACTCACCCAACACACCGTGCGTGCGCGCGCCTGCGCGCACATATGGGCAACTCAGGCACGGGCTGACAGACTGGAAAACATCCTCCCATTTCTCCCGTTTCATCTAAGCCCACAGGGCCCTCATGTGCTCTGAGGAGACTCAAGTGCAAACAATTGTGGTGAAATGGGAGGATGCCGATAGCCAACCCCCTGGAAATATATGAGAGCATTCAGGTGCCTCCCCGCAGTGATATTCTCCTCCGTATACCAGGGCAAGGAGAGGCAAGACCATTTGGGGTGAGGCTCCTGTATTGGGATGCCTTTTATCAAAGCAAAGTTTCCACCCTCCTCTCCTGAAGAGCACTCAGCACAGCAGCTCCCACAATAGCCTCAGAGCCCCAGCCAGAGACTTTGGAAGCCTTTTGTTTTTCCCCTGTGGCACGTCCAAAGGCATGGCCTTCCCTCCCCCTCCCAGCGGCCTGCATTGTCTTGCATTCCAGGGACTTGATTGACTGTTGCCACCTGATGCTGAGGAGATAACTCTAGGGTTCATTCTGCAGATTGTTGGGTTCTATTAAAAGAAACCTAGATAAGGGATTACTTGTCACTAAGGGATTTTCTGCAGATGTTTATTAGTGATTGGAAATCCATTAGGTGTGAAGAGGCACTGAAAAAATATGGGCAACACCATTCTCATAACCCTGAATTCGAAGATACCCCCCAAAAAAACATCTGAAAGGCCCCCCCCCCCCCACCGCCCCTTACTCTGTTAAATGGAGTTGGGAAAACTTTTCTGGCGAGAGGTAAGGGTCTCCTTTTCATGGGTGATGGTTCTACCTGTGGATGGGATTCCTTGGCACTCAGCTCAGTTGCTACACATCAGTTTACCTCTCTGGAGCCACCAAAAAAAGACTAATTGCTCTAGTACTAGAGGATCTCATTATAACTTTCTTTTACCTGGCCCAATCCACTGCATGAGTATTGCCTCAAAGTAAGCAAGAAATTAGCAAACCATTTGCAAAGAATTCATCCCTTCCCAAACATAAACCAATAACCGTAGTCTCCTCTTGGGAACGTTTTGTGTCATTTGCACTTATTTTGAAGTTACTAGCTCTTCCGTGCTTTTCCTAAACCACAGATCCACAGCTTGTCAAGGTTTTGATGCCTCTTATAAGTAGGAACTTGCATTAAAAAGGAGCCAGCATGGTTTAATGGAAAGACACCTGGATAAGTTGTTTCACATGAGTCTCTTCATCTCATAATTTCTTCATCTCATAGAATCTGTTTCTTCATCTATAAAATGAGGTCTGAGATCTATTTCAGGTCTTTAAATTCTGTTTTCTATCCTTACTTTAAAATTCCTTTTTCTTTTTTTTAAAGTATTTAGGGAGAAGGTAAGTGTGACTCTAGCGCAGTGTAGAACAAAGCAGAAGGGCAGGGTCTCATTATGAACCGTTTATCAAAGATGATGCGAAAAGAACTGTGAAGCATGGTGAGGGATACGCAGAATAGAAGCCAGGACTTCCTCTCTAAAGACATCTTATGATAAATTCATTACAACTAGAAATAAGTAGGTGAAAAGTTAAACAACATCAAGACACAAATACAAAAGATGTTAAAGGACGGCCCAAGATTACTGCCAAAAGAAACGAATGTTTAAAACAGGATAAGACCCACTAAAAATCCGTAACCAGCATGGCGAATGATAAGGAATAACAGGGTGGAGGCTGCACGCTCCCCCAAAGAAATTACTTTGAGTTGTTCTCAGGCAAACCCTAGAACTATGCTTCTTCCCTCCTCCAGGGCTGATGCTGTTCTGGTTGCACCTCCCTCCTCTGACTGTCTTAAACATCAGTCCTGCTCCCTTGGCCCCCGGCTCCCCAGATCTCTTGGGGGTCCTTGGAGTGGGTGGGACTTCATCTGGAGCCGCTGCCATACCCTCTGTCCCTGCAGCTCTCCACCAGGCCAGGCCGCATCCCCGAGTGTTCAAGGAACATAGATCTTCATTGTGGATCTGTTGCTAATGGCCAGGAAAACCACTCTGACGATGTTTCTGTAGCATTTGGCTAACAGCTCCCAAACCTAGTAGTTAAGAGTGGGTAGTTGCACTGCATAACTGTTCTCCAGCCAGAATCCCTCTCTCAGTAATGCCCATTTGATGAAATGTGAAGGATCATCTTTGGGGAAGAGGGAGGAGTACTCAAAAAGGCTACTTAATGACTTTTTGTTTTGTTTTGTTTTGCGGTACGCGGGCCTCTCACTGTTGTGGCCTCTCCCGTTGCGGAGCACAGGCTCCGGACGCGCAGGCTCAGCGGCCATGGCTCACGGGCCCAGCCGCTCCGCGGCACGTGGGATCTTCCCGGACCGGGGCACGAACCCGTGTCCCCTGCATCGGCAGGCGGACTCTCAACCACTGCGCCACCAGGGAAGGCCGTTTTTTTAATTTCTTTTTATTTATTTTGTTTGACTTTTTATTTAGTATAAGGTGACTAGAAGGGGTGATTGCTCTTCCAGGCCCTTCCCATCCCACAAATACTCATGTATGTGCAGGAGGTTGGGGGAGAAAATCATCAAAGTTCAGTTGAAAATACAGATGAATTCTCAGCTAGGAATGGCCTTTGGGGTATAGGGGTTTGCACATCCATGGGGGACAGGGTGATGTTTCCATGATTTTCCAGGCAGTGGTGGGGACTGTGTCCTAAGAAACTAACCAATATCTTTGGGAGGGGCTTCTCAAACTTTTCACTTTTTCTAGATTCTGATCAGCCCCAGATGGGGGTCCTTTTTTTCTGGGGTGTTATTAGGTTTCCTTCAAAGGACAAGTGACTTGCCATGGGATGCACTGAACTTCTTTGTCCAACTCCAAATATGTAAGACAGGGATGTCTGGTATCTTTCTCGTTTTCTCTAACAGTTACTATCATTATAAAAAGGTCCACTGCACAAATTGAGAAAAGGCGTGGAGAAAGGGATCAAATGTGTTCAAAATGACAATCCCTCCCTTTTACTTTGGCGAGGGGCAAGTGTGAACAAAGATGAAAATATATACCTCTTGTATATGTGTAGACAGATCTGTCTACACATATAACTGCAGTGCATTTTACTTCCTCATATGTCTGCACTTACTGTAAAAATAAAACATTATTAATGTGTAAGTACCCCACTAAAAGAAATCTACAGAGTGTCAGTGTGTATTTGGAAAATTATGAGTACATGGAATGATTCTGTGAATCCATTTCCTTGTTGTGGGGAAAGATAGGCCATGCTTTACCATGTAACTTACAAAGAATACTGAATAAGTACATCAATAGCTATTCCTTTCCCTAGACAAGAGGTTAGACTATTAAATAAACAACTATTAACAGATAATTAATAAACACACAAAAAACACCCACATATATACTCACTGCTCTGGGAGAAAAGGATTAACAGGGATTCTGAAAAGAATATTTGAAGAATGTTTATCTTAGAGTACAATGACTTTGAACGATTCCCTTAATCTCTCTGAGCCTCCATCTTCTCACTGTAAAATGGGGTTAATAATCACAGAGATGTTGGGGGAACTGAATGACATAATTCACATTCAGTACATAACACAGTGCCTGACACATAATAAGCAGTCCAAAAATGTGGGGTTTTATTATTGCTATCAGCTGCATAAATCACTCTCTCATGGAGCAGTTCTAATCTCAAGGTAAAGTATTTTCCAATGTAGAATTTTAAGATTCAGTACAAATTTTGTATTTTGGGACTCAGTGTTAGTATCATTATCTTACTCTTTTTTTGTACATAGAGGACAGGCATACGTCAGAGATATTGCAGGTTCCGTTCCAGACTACCGCAATAAAGCAGATGTCGCGATAAAGCGAGTCACATAAATATTTTGACTTTCCAGTGCATATAAAAGTTATGTTTATACTCTATTGTAGTCTGTCAAGTGTGCAATAGCGTTATGTCTTAAAAAGTACATACCTTAATTAAAAATACTTAATTGCTAAAAATGCTAACCGTTATCTGAGCCTTGAGGTGCATCTTTTCGCAATAGTAACATCAAAGAGCACTGATCACAGAAAACCATGACAAATATAATATTAACGAAAAAGTTTGAAATATCTCGAGAATTACCAAAACGTGACACAGAGACATGAAGTGAGCAGATACTGTTAGAAAAATGGCGCCAATAGACTTGCTCCACACAGGGCTGCCACAAACCTGCAATTTGTAAAAAACACACTATCTGTGAAGCACAATAAAGTGAAGCAAAGCGCAACAAAGCAAGGTATGCCTGTACTTTATAGTGCAGATGATTTTAATATACAATTTAACATCTGGGTCAACAATCCTCTGATACAAGCAGGAAACTAAGATTTTTGCTATCTTCATCTATAGTGTGGGTTTAGTTTAGTTTATATCAAAGGCCAATTATTATTCTACTTTTGAGAACACATTTTGTTTTCATAATGGAAATATGATTCAAATTCTGAACGATTAGGTGGCGACTTGCTTCTGGAATACACCTATTTAATGAAGTGAGGAATGCCAACAGTATGTCCCCTTTCTTCTACTCAGATATTCACAATGGAATCCCAGTTTTTCAGTAGTTCTGCATGTATCCTTTGCACAAGTCTTTTTCTAAAACTCTATAAAGCTGTCAACCCCACATTACAATGCTACTATATATAACGACTTTACATAAGAGAATAGAGGCCGGCCATTTTTAGAAAATGCAGGTGCCATGTAAGCCCCTTTCTGAAAGAAAGAACTTAGCTCAATTTCCTTTGAAGAACTGGAGACTTGAAACTGAAAACTTTATTAATGCCGTTGTCTCCTTGTATCAGCAGGTTCCAGAGAGATTCCTGGAAGTTGCGCAGATCACATTACGGGAGTTTTTCAATGCCATTATCGCAGGCAAAGATGTTGATCCTTCCTGGAAGAAGGCTATATACAAGGTCATCTGCAAGCTGGATAGTGAAGTCCCTGAGATTTTCAAATCCCCAAACTGCCTACAGGAGCTGCTTCATGAGTAGAAATTTCAACAACTCTTTTCGAATGTATGAATAGTAGCAGTCCCCTTTGGATGTCCAAGTTATCCGTGTCTAGATTTTGATTTCATATATATGTGTATGGGAGGCATGGATGTGTTACAGAATCAGCTGGTAAATCCCTCCTCATCATCTTTCTCTCATTTTCTTCTGTTTTCCATTTGCAAGGGGATGGTTCTTTTCCTTCCGCCTTTAGTCTACTTTTGCCCAAGGCCCTTAACATTTGGAGACTTAAAATAGGGTTAATTTTCAGGGAAAAAGAATGTTGACGTGTGTAAAGTCTATATTAGCAAGGAAGGGCATTTTTAAAAGATGCTTCTGCTGGATTGATGGTTTATTGCGCATGGCGGTTGGCAGAGGGAGACCCGTGACACAGCACTACTCTGTAGTCAGTGATGTGTCTCTTGTTTTTACTGCTTGAGAAGGTCGGAAAACTCAATGAAACCACTTGATAAACTTAAATATTTTGTTTGGTTTGAACTCAGTAAGTCGCTTTTTATCACACATTTAAAAATAATGCCAGTGGCAGATGAACAACTCACTTTTCAAAAGTACCCCAAAAGGCCAGATTTTAAAAAGAAACATAATCACTAACCATCAAGTCTTTCCTAAGAGAAATGGCAAACACCACAAGCTAGTACCATTTTCTTTGGAGGCAAAGCAGTTTTGTACAAAACTAACTCTTCCAAAATGAGACTGGAAATTCATGTGATTTCTAGTCACCTCTCGAAATTTTGCAATGGGTTCTTCTTGGTAATAACTAGTTATCTATTGTTCTTCATACAGTAAAACCCCTATAACGTGTTATCATTTTCTATTTATCTTGCTTCAGATACTAAAAGGCACATAAGTTTCGAATTTATTCTTTGCTCAACTTTGTTTATGTGGTTTAAAAGAATTATCATTTCTGTTTAATATTTAACACTTTTTTTTTCAAAAAACACTATTTTCTGAATTCCTTTCTATGGTAAGGAATAAAGGACATCCCAACTTGACCATAAAATTCCTGCCTACACTAGAAGTTGGTTAACAGCTGCTAGCTGACGCGATCTTCCCCTCCTGAGAGGAGTACATATGAGAATGACCTATTTTCCTATACATTTCCACTCTACCCTGATGGATATTCAAAGTGGTGACGGTCTAATTTTTAAGTGTTTCTTCATTTTAGGTACAGCGTTTTAAAGAAATTGATACAGTCTCTTCTAATTCAGAAGCTAGTAATTGACCAAAACGTGAAGAGTGTATAGAATAGGAGAGTTTGGGAGTTAACCCAAAAGACACAATTTCAGCACACATAAGAAAGCTAGCTGCTATTTCGTGCTTTCTTCAATGGTTCTCCTCTTTTTTCTTTTTCTTTTTTCCAGTTTTTCAAAGGTGTACAAAGTCCCATACTTGCTTTTAAAAAGCCGTATGGCATTCACACTTGTTTTCTTAGATGGGTTTTGTGTGCAGATGCAGTAAGAATTCCTTTTTTATTCTAATAGTGTTTTCCAGAACCCTCCCTCCCCTTTGGTAACTTGATCTACATCTCCTAAAGTGACAAAGTAAAAAACAAAACAAAACAAAACAAAACTGGTATTTAGATCGTATACAACATAAATATCGTTTTTTCCTTGATTTTTATAAAAATTACATTTGACTTTGGAGACTGCAGGTTGACCCATGTAACTAGGTGACCCAATCGCCGTAATTTAACATCATTTATAAATTCTGCTGATGGACAGGAATGTATGAAGGCAATTATTGTCAGCACAAAGCCTTAAAACCTGCTGACTTTAAGGCAAACGGCGCGGTCCTATGATGCCTGCGTCATTCAGGAGACATGGCCTCTTGCGGTGTGGACAGAGTGCAGTGGCCCGGGCTGGAACACCCTGGGCCTCACTCTGTACCCACAGCCAGACACATCGCCCAGCTCGCAGGCTCCTACACAGAGCCAGCACAGCCAATTTGTTCTTGTTCCGGCTTGTTTGGGAAAAAAAAAAAAAAAAAGTGTTCGGATAATCATCACATTGGAATAAAATGAAAACCAAACTTCCGATCACTCTTTCGCCTTGCTTCACGCCCAAGAGTATGACATTCATTGTTCACATCAGTATAGAACTGGGTCTTTGCTGTTCCCGTGTAATTCACATCACCATTGTGTTGCCATTTGCAAGGTAAAAGGCAAAACCGTAATGTCTTCACCTATAAAGATAGATTGCTAGTATCTTCCTGATCTGGGGCAAATTCAGTATTGATTCCAGACGTATTTGAATTTTTAGTATTATTCTCCCCGGCCTTTCTAATTGAAATAGACAAATTAAGCAAAAACATGTGTTCACAACCAAATGTTGATGCACTTATCTACAATAATATCCTCTCAATGTTCACTGAGGCATAGAAATTGTTTCAGAGTAGAAATTGCAGCTGCGAGGAGAAACTCACCTCATTGTCCTGGAAACAGAACTCAATCATTTTGCTTTTAGGTGATTCTTTTCTCTTTCACCATCATAAAATCTTGTGCCTCCCAGTGCATTGGAAAATGACAAAATCCTATCTCTCAAAACTCCTATTTAACAAGTTTTCTTTAAATCACCATCTTTCCAATCTTAGCTCAACTCTCACCAAGTAAAAATTGGCGACTTGGGAGAAAGTTCACTTTCTCTGGTGGGAGGGTGAAGGATTAGGGACAGTTTACATAGGGAAAGTCTAAAGTCCATGTTGAAATACCACATTTCCACTTATTTTCTGCTAACCCTAAATTATTTTTGCATCTACACTTGAGGTTATAGTCCGTGCCTAGACCTAAATGCACCAGCGGGGGGATTTTTTAAAAATCCTTCAAAATTCCAGTTTTTTCCCACAAGTACAATTGTTCTTGTGCCTTCTGTGGCTTTCGATTTCATCTTTTTGACTTTATTTCCAATTACTACAGCTGCAATAAACACTAGATTTTTTTTCTGGCTGTTTGACATAACGTTGATAGCTATGCATATTTTGTGTCTTTTTAAAACAAAGCAGGAGAATACGTTTTTGAAGAAGAGAATTTTTAGAACAGTTTGATACCGCAAATTATTTTTTCCTCAATTGTTTGAGCAGCATTCGAGTTTTGAAAATTCTTGTAGAAGCCAATTTTTTGTAACTGTGGTGCAAATCTTGTGTTTTCTTAGCCTAATGAAAAGTAGTATAGAAGCAATATTTCATACCATGTGCTATATATGTGTGTGCAGATGTGTGACATAACAACACATACACACATATACACACATGTAAAAATATACATATATATATGCGTGTGAAGTGGAAAGCTTACCTTTTCCTATCTAGATTTAAGGACCTATTTTAGGCATTTGTTATGTTTTGTGAAAAGAATGTTCTATTTGCAACAAGAAAACATTTAATTCTTACTGTATCTCTGGCTGTTTAATGAGGACATTTCACTTTAAATGGTAAAACAACGTGGAAGATGGTAGAATGTAGTAATTATTTAAGGAAATGTTCACCCACATATTCCTGAAGTTTGCTTTGTGCCTCCAAGTATTATTTCATTAAAGTGTTTTATGTTTGCAGAATCTCTGTTGCTGTGCTAGGGATGTGGGTGAATATCATTTTTAAAAATTTCAAAAACAACAAAAAAAAGCAAAACAAAAACACTAAAGCAAGAGGGGAACTTTTATAAAGCAATGTAAATATTTAACCTCATGGCTGTTGTTACGTAAGACATGAGATTTTAATAAATAACTACATTCTCACAACATCTGTTGAATTTATTAGGAACACTTCAGTGACTGTATAGACAGTTGAAAGCATTCTTGAAAATCCTGCTCTCTACTTTTAAAAGATAACAGTCTCTTTCATCAGATGTCAAGGGCAAGGGTAATGCAGTTTCTGTAAATTTATGAAATTTCTTTTCTATGTACATGAAGACATTTAGTACATAACCTCCCTCCCCCCCCAACACACACATACATGCATACACATACAGGTTAATGTTAAGTCATAAAGCTAAATATCTGGGGGCTTTAAAAATAAGATGTCCCCCAGAAGCAATCATAAATTCATCAAAGAAAAAGTGGTTTACAGACTCCCCTGAAAGAAGCAGTGTACATGTGAGGACAGAGCAGAATCTCTTTGCCATGTATATTATAGAATCTTCATTGGTGTGAATAGTACAAATGTTTCGTTCTGGTACAAACTCTGTGTTTGCAAATTACAAGAAGCATTGTTTTCAAAAAGCTCCCCTTAAAAGGAACGTAACTGGTTTCTGTGAGTAAAGCAGTTACTGTATTGCACTTACATGTGATGTTGAAGGAAATGCAGTTTTGTTTTCTGTAGATCTGTTGGTTGTAAACCATCCATAAGACTAAAGCTAAAATGCTCATATTCCGAGCTGGGATCAAAACTGGTATTTAACCTTTGCATCTTCTTATAATCATCCTTCTAAGAATATAACGGAATCTGGAAGCATCTGGACTTTGAGTCTTTTCAACTGAGCCCTCTCTCAAACCTGACACCCCCGAAAATGCACAGACATGAACAGAAAAGGCAAACAGACTGGCCCGCTTTTGTGAAAATGGCTTCATTCTTTATTTTTTAAATATTCACATATTCTCCATAGGTGGGAAAAGCAGTTTAAAATTGTATATTACCACTTCAAAATTAGAATTAGAAAAGCAAATGTATTTGGGGTTGGTTTCAGCAATACCCAGAGAAATCAAAGGTCCTGGCTTCCCCCAATATTGTCCCAGCCATTTCTCATATGTATATAGTATAAACCGTGACAAAACACTGCCTTTATATTATTTAGCAATATGTTGTAAATAGCATTATTAAGCTCTTTTTTTTTGTAATAAAGACCCTTTGATTTGAATATAGTACAATAACTGAACTGATAAAGTCAATTTTTGATTTTTTTTTTTAGCTAGAGGCAATTTCAATTGTGGATTTTTGTTGTTGTCTATTGTTCTGAAGACTTTGCATAATTTATTGGTTTAATTTATCCTAATTTATTTGATGAAGGTGTACAATTTTGTATTACCAAGGATGTACTGTAATATTAATTGATATGATAAAAAAACAATGAGACTCCCTGTCCATATTAAAAAGTAAATAAAAAGGTGCAGTAGACAATTGATTTTAAAGTAAAAGTAAAAAGTTTAGTTTGGCAGCTACTAAATTTTAAAACAGGAAAAAAAAATAGTTGTGGGGGGAAGGGTGGGAAGGGGGTTTTACTTTGTGTGTTTAAGCTTTTGTATACTCTCCAAACTTTTACCTTTTGCTTTGTACCACTTAAAGGATACAGTAGTCCAATTGCCTTGTGTGCCTTCCATCTTCTCTTAAACTGAATGTATGTGCAGTATATATGCAAGCTTGTGCAAAATAAAATATACATTACAAGCTCAGTGCCGTTTGATTTTTTTTAAACATGTGACATTTAATGTTTGGACCTGTGTCCAGTTGTAGGACAGCAGGCTCGTTGTGACTGTAATATCAGTGATGGAGTTTTCCTTTCTCTCCCCACACTTGGCACTTTATTTAATTAATTTATTTATTTTTGGCCACGCAGCTTGCAGGATCTTAGTTCCCCAACCA